GATAAAAATACCAAAGGCCCATTTTCTTCCCTGTGCCAGCTCTGGTTAGATAAATTATCTTGTATTCAGTCAGGAGCAGTTACAAGTCTGTCAGTTTTTCATACTAATTATGTGACTGGGCCATTTCTAATGTACGCGGATAACCAAATGGCTTTGCAGCAGAGCCAGCGTGCGCTTTTGCATTGGTTTATTCACCGCTATGAATGTGCATAATATTTGTAGATTAAAAATACCATCCAAAGCATTTTCCTCAATGGGCTATAAATAGTCATTGGGAGGGAATAAGAGGGCCACTATCAGTTTATTGAAGATCATAACAGTAGTGTTTCATTATCAGATGGTGCTATGCACCTGTGGATTTTATGGTCCATAAATGAGACGAAGCCATGTGTTAAAGCACATCTGCATTTAAAATACTTAGTGTTGAAACAAAAACCCATCAGAAATCCTGTCATTCTCAGTTCTCATGTTTGTTCTGTTTCGAGAATGATGAGCTTTCAAAAATCAACAGGCATATTCATGAAAGCAGCACATGGTGTCATTTGTTTCCTTTCCCAGTTCTGCAGTGTACCAGCACATTCACGTCTCGGGGTATGTATGACTGTGTCTCTTGTAACATCAACCGCTCTGTATGCAAGATAAGCCCCAGCGTTTTTTTGTCTGAGATCAGAATCTGTCCAGAGTTAACAGGGAGAGCTGTAGCCTAGTAGCTCAATACAGCCTAGTTAAAACCCTCATTAATAATCAAATTAATAATCAGATACAGTCTCAGTTGGCTTGTGAAGCAAATGCATACATTGATTCTTCCTTGAGCTCCAAGTTTTGGAGCCCACCTCCAGGATTCAAGGGTTAATTTGTGAAAGGGATTGCTTAGGTATACCAAAGTCACCCCCACTGCAGCGCTTTTATGGAAAGATAGACTCAAAAGCCATTTTGGATTCCTGGCTTTGCCATTGTTCATACAAAACCCACAGGCTGCAAAAGAAGAACCAGAAGTGCCCTCCAGAGGCAGTCCTCATGTCCAGATCTTTGTTGTCAAAGACATCTGGTCTCTATCTTTCAAGCACCCTCTTAAAAGCAGTTAGTTTTTAAAGCTGCCCTTCCTTTCTCTACCTACTGTTGGAAGTTTGTCCAAATAGTTAGGAAATGTTAACTCCTCTTTTCTAATTTCTTTCCAGATTATGTCTACCTGTTCCTGTGCCTGATTATTTAATAGGCAGTAAATTAATCTTCTTGCAGCTTTCAATTTTGTCAGACTGAACAGGCAAAACTTTTCTAGCTCTCTGTTGTAAGATAAGCTGTCCAGTTCCCTGACTATTCTAACAGCTTTTTTCTTTACTGCTTATGGTTTGAATTCATCTTTCTTGAGCATGAGTATTTGACGGTTGTACAGCCGTTCCCATATATATTCATTCTTTGTGCTGCCATTGGAATTTCCCATCCTTATGCCTTTTAGGATTAACGGGTTGGGTTTTTCTCAGTCATACTTTTTCAGCTGGTATCCCCAGATACTCTGTCATTTGCAAACCTCCAGCATTTGAAAGAGTGACTTTCGTGTCCTGTTTGTGTACTTGCACATTTTAGCGTTGAATGTAAACTCATTTCTGTTAAGCCAGTCTTCCTAATCAGCTAGTTCCTGGTCCAGGTTCTCCACGCCGGCTGTTGCTACTAAATTTTGTGTCACTGATCACTGAGCGGTCTGATGTAATTTACTAAACTCCGCTGAAACCCATCATCTCTCTAAGGCAGAAACATTTGGTTACTCCCAAAAGTAGCTCCATTTTTAGATTATCTATTGTGCTGCATTTTTTTTCCCCCTCACTTGTTTATTTCAGCAGTTTAGCTCTAAGAGGTCCAAAGTATCGGCCTAGAGATACTTTTGAATTTGTGAGATTAATGGAGTCAAGTTTTGACCCCTTCTGCAGCTCACTTCTAGAGATTATAGGTTGATAAGAAAGTACTCTTTC